AGTTTACTAGAGTGATTATATAAACAAATATGATGCTTGGTGTAGGGTTCAACGGGAGACTTTATTCACCGTTTGTCTCCAGCAGATGTACAATCGTTTATATCCCATTGTAAATGAACTCACCTCTGTACTCTACTCTGCATAGCGGGTTATATAGGGATATATGGGCGTGTGAACGGTGTGAGGAGTGGGCGGGGTATGAGGCGCGGGCGTGAGAGTAGTTACTGAGGATGACACTGGTACAGACAGCAGCAGGAGAGGGAAAATCATGTAAGATATGGTTCCCGTTCTCCCTCACCCTCCCCCCAAGTTACCGCCATTTTGTTTTCGTGTTGGGTATTGACTTTCGCTTCTTCATGACTATTTTAGTAAGTTCACCTCATCAAAGAGATACTAACCTGACCAATAGGCCTTTTTCCGAGCCATCAATGTAGCTGGAGTGGGCGTGAGGTGCGTATAGTGGCGTAGATGGAGTGAGAGGGCGCCCAGTGCCAGGTAACAAAGACAGGATGTTTCCCCAGATGAAGTCGCCTTTCAAAACAAACGGTTTCCTGGAGGGACGGAAATGATTATTGTCCTGGTCAGTTTAATGCTCTGAAAAGTCTTAGTTGGCGTGGGCGGCGTTAAGGAGGTGGTGGGAGGCATCAGCGGCGAGGAAGACTGACAAGTGGCAGGGAAAGATAAGGAAGAAAAGGAAGAAGTGGTCCGGGATACCTGAGATGGACCATAACAAACACACGGGGACAGGGAGGCCGTGGCGGGGATAACTATCCTTGCTATCCTCTCCTCCCTATCCATCTCTATCCTGGTGAGGCCTACCACGCCTACCTGGTGCCTAGTACCACCTGACAAGTGACTGCTTGCCTCCTGAAGTGAGTGTCTTACCAGTGTCTTCTCACTTAAGATGACACAGATGCCAACACACACAACACACTTATCTCACTATAAACACCAATTATCTACTGTCAGACCTTCCTCATGTGATTTATATATTATTATATGAAGCGTTTCTCAGTAGATAAAAGTGTGGTGTTGTGAAATATTTAATAATAATGTAGAATGTAGAGAAATGCACTTCCCAATTTGGTATATCAAGCCCATCTTGATCCTGCATACAACTCACATAGTTTTTATGAATATCCTTAATAGTGATTATTATATATAAGTGAAAACATAAGTATTATTTATAAATGAAAATATAAAGTAACAAGGGGAACCTATCTAGTGATATAAATAAATTGACATGACAGTTGAAGAAGAATGAAACAGTCATAAGGAGATCCTTTACAGTGTGCATATTTTTTTAGAGAAAAACATTTCACATTAAAAAGCTGAATCTGTTCAAGTAATAAAAGTATCTAACAAAAGAGTAATTTTTGGGACTTTGAGCCAAAAATTTTATGCTTCCTATAATTGGGTGAAGCATGATTCCAATCCATTCTGGAAAGCAAGCACATGGTTAGTGCTTGCTTTCCAGCAAATATAATAATGGAAAAGAACAAGAATAAATGCTTCAAATTGAGAGGAAAATGTTGCATGATGTTATTGATAGCTTTTCAGTTCATCATAAATTATGTACTGTATACTGTACCTATGAGTTAATGCCCATAATTTATTAGTTGTTTAGTGGGTGTGTATCATATTTAATATTGTATACACAAACATTTGCAAAATTACACTGTTCATGTAATTACTGTATTCCTTCTAATAAATCATTTATAAATAGTATGTAGTAGTTTTAAAAAAAATCACTGAGGCAAGCACTGATTCTAAAGGCACCCCACTAGTGGTATCACTCCATGAAAACATTTTTTGTCTAGTTTTCCTAACCAAAAGTGATGCAATGAGTTTTATTCAGATCTTTTTAATCTAAACAGTAAATGGAATCTTTCCATTTAACTGTCAGCATACCACTTTTTTTGGGGTCTCAAAAATGGTTTTCAGTAGATATTTTAATTCTGCATAGCTATTCCTTAAAACCCAATGATGATACCTTCTCTCAATCTACAGGTTAATTTTACTCATTATCCATTAGTTGAACAGTTTGTTGCAAAATAAGTAATCCATTTTATTTATACGTTTTGAGATTGTCAAGATTAGATAGGCAATATACAGTGCATAATTTTATACAGTACCTGTATTACAGATTCATTTGAAATCAATAACTACAGGCCAATTTCTAACTTGCCATTACTATAAAAAATATTAGAAAACAATACACAAGCAGTTGTTTGAATTTGTAACAAAACAGTAGTCTTAACCCTTGTCAGTTTGGTTTCAGGCCTCCAGGAAAAAAAGTGTAAATTATGCAGTTAGAAAAATGCTTGATTCAATCAATACATTTAGGAAACACTGAATATTCATTAGGCCTTTTTATTGAGCTAAGAAAGTCTTTCAATATAGTGCAGTAGATACAACATACTTTTTAAACTAGAGCATTATGGAATAAAAGGCAATGCATTCTCCTGCATAAAGTTCCATCTAAATGATATATTCCAACACATAACTATAAACGACACCACTTCATTTCAACCCATCAACATTGGGGTACCACAAGGCAGCATCCTGTAAACATTTTTATTTCTAAATAACATTAATGACCTACCAAATAAATTTTGACAACTTAACTAGTTTTATTTATGGGTGGCACTACCTTAGTCATGACTTCAGATCCAGTTGAACTTGACAACATAGTTAATGCTGAACTAGAAAAGGTATCATCTTGGATAGTGACTATTAAATTAACACAATATTGATAAGATCTTCTATATAATATTTGGTTGCAGTGCTCTATGACCCTTCACAGTTTTAGTGCTTAATTTGATTATTATTACATTTTATTATTTTTACATTATTTTTTGGAATGAGGCTAAGAGTATTAGAAATATGGTATTAAAGTAAACATGAAGATAATTTACACATTTAAAGACAGGATAAGAGGAAAGCTTATATTTAAGAAACGCATAAGAACATATTTTTGGAAGTTTCCAAGACGGTTGATATTCTTTCCAGAATGCACCACTGTGTATCAGAATTAACACTGTCCTGTAGACTGCTATTATTAAATTTACCCTTTCTTCACCTATGGTGTATGTGCATAGGAATCAATCACAGCTTATCTAAAACCAACTATATTACTATCATGTTCAATAAATCAATAGAAGCCAAAGGTTTCAATACCATACTTAGGCTAGCAAAGGTTATGCCATTTTACAGTCATGGTGATCTCGCAGAAATTAATAATTACAAGCCAGTTTATAACTTTCCATTGTTATCCACTTTCTAATTTTCCATTATTATAACTAATCATGTGTAAGAAGATATTGAGATAATTAAAGAGGTAATAAACAAATTATTACCAGATTTTGACAAAAAAATGTGCAGAACTGAACTTTCCACTTCAAAATTTTTAGGGTTTCATTTCAGGAAGGAAAATTGGCAGATAAATAGAAGATGGCACACATTGTGCCAGTTTTATTGAGTGCTGTTACAGAATTATTGGGAAAAGCCATTAATGAAAAGTGAATAAAATACTTAGAGGAGAACAACTTACTGACTGGTAAACCATTTGGTTTTTGGTCTAGAAGTTCCTGTACTGTATATCAAATCTAAGTTATTATGATAGTCATCAAAATTGTTCAAGGATATAATGGATGGGAAGATTGTATTTATTTAGATTTATAAAAAAGCTTTTGATAGTGTTTTCCTCCCATGAGAGACTAATTTGGAACATTCAAAAGAGGAGTAAAAGGTAAAGTATTAAAATGGGCAAAAGACTGTAGAGAAAAATGAATAGTTATTAGAGGAAAACTATCCTCATAGGGAGATGTCACAAGTAGGGTGCTGCAAGGATTTGTACTTTCCGCAGTAATGTTTCTAATTTATGGTACACTGTGTAAATGACTTAATAGAAGGAATAAATAACTATATGAATATATTAGCAGATTATGACTTGGATAAATTGAGCAAATGGAGGCGATATATGGATAATGGAATTTAATGTAGATGTTGCCATGTAATAGAAATTGGAGAGTGGAATTAGGTCACAAGATGAACATAGACTGTTTGATAAAATATTGAAAGTATCAGACAGACTGGCGGAAGATTGTATAGAATGAAACAATGAAACTTATGCTACTCTTGTGAATTGTGATGAAAACCTACATTTTCAACTCAATCCTTGTAGAACTCCCCATGCACATAGTACCCAAAAATGTGGTACTCTCATCCAAAAGATTTTAGCTGCCAAATGCTTCAAAAATATTTGTCAAAAAACACCATGAATTTGATGTCTAATTATTGAAAATCAAATGTAAATATCAGATGTATCAAATGCATTCATACTTGTGCATATCTCGTTTCTACTATGTCTCCCCCTACACCCCAAAAGAAACTTTATTGCTCATTGTCAGTACTGTTGTGTTACTTTCCCCTCATATTAACATTGCTGTTATGTATAGATAGTTTTGTTATTGAGAGCAGTCATTGTACTGATTATAGTATTCTCTGATAAATTAGTTATGGCACCCTTACCATTTGCATAGACTACCGTAAGATAATCACTGACAAGCAGTTTTGTTTCAGTTGCCTAAAATGCATTGCATAACTAGGGGGTTTTCCATGTAACAAATACCATTGTAAAATATATTTATAAATTACAGTATGCACAGTATATATCTTATTGAAAAATAAAGATTGCATTTATTTTATAACAAAAATCTTCCAGTAGAATCATCACTTGTCCCAATTTCAAACAATAATACACAGTATTTATAGAGTTGAACCTACTTAACCCTTTCAGGGTCCGTGCCGTAGATCTACGGCTTTGAAGCCAGGGTCCAAACTGTAGATCCATGCCATGGGGTCAGCTCACTCGGATAACCTGTGAGCGGTAAATTTGGGCCTAGATATGAGAGAACACATCTGTGTGGGAAGTGTGCACCACATAAAACAAATACTGCAGCACGCAGTGTATAACGAGAGAAAAAACTGCTACCATAATTTTGGATTAAAATGGCAACTTTGCATTTTTTCTTATGTTTTTACAGTTGTATTCATGATTTCTTGGTCTCAATTAATAGAAAGGAATACATAGTACAGAAATAGAGATGATTTTGATTGGATTTAGTAGAGACAATAGCTTGAAACTGAGCTGAAAGAAGCGGAAATGTTAAATTTTTGCTGATGTTCAAGGGTAAACAAATGTCGTCACGAGTCTCATACACATCAGTTGGTGGGTCTAATATACGTTCATGAATGTGCTGATATTATTTATGCAATTATTACAACATTGCATAACAGCAAATCTTCTATTTTATGGTGTGAATAAAAGTTCATTATGTGACTAAAAAATAAAAATGGAATTCATTTGTAAAGCCTGAAAACATAACTAATGAACAGAGGAAATGTTTGTTCAGTACCAGGAATGCCTGCAGTCCTGGTACTAAACAGGAAATTGGAATATTTTGAACTTAAGATTTTCTTTGGATTTTTAACCCTGGAGGGTTAGCCACTAAGGATAACTCAGTCAGTGCATCATCGAGGACCGTCTAACTTATTTCCATTGGGGTTCTCAATCTTGTCCCCCAGGATGTGACCCACATCAGTCGACTAACACCCAGGTACCTATTTGCTGCTAGGTGAACATGACAATAAGTGTAAGGAAACGCGTCAAAATGTTTCCACCCCACTGGGAATCGAATCTGGGCCCTCTGTGTGTGAAGCGAGAGCTTAAGCTGCCAGGTCACCTGGGTTAAATTGGTCAAATTACCAATTTCTGATCACTTTATTGGGTAGTTGAAACAGTTGAATGGGCAATTTCTTGTGCTCAATCAATAAAATAAAAGAAATACTAGCAAAAATAGCTAAGAAT